CTTTTTCCTTCCTTCCATGCTGGCTGGGGGATTCTGGGAGTTGAAGTCCACGGGCCAAGGTTGGACGCTTCTTCTATAGATAGAAGAACAGATCTCTCACTCGGATCTTTGCTTTCGATCCAGACACCATATGCGGGACGATGTTCGGCAAGACTTGTATGAGGCGGTTGATGATTGGATGAAGGCTGTTGGCAAGCACCGGAAGTTCATGGGAGGAGACCACCCTAACCTCGCCGATTTGGTAAAGAGATGACGCCATGGCTGATTGAAACCGAGGGTGTCGCGGGGATTCGTGGCCTGGCCCGTTTGGAGCGCTCCTTTGGCTTTCCTAATTCACAAGTCTTGAGCCAAACTTCCAAAACTTCCAAAGGATTTATTGGGAGTTAACATGCCAGCACTGCCTGGGTGTAGCCGACTCTGATACACCTCATTCATTGTCACCCTTGACCCTGGTTTTCCCCCGTATCCTAATTCATATTCTCCAATGGGACACATCCATAGCCCAGAATCATCAGTCATGCTCTCCCGTTAGAATTTTGCACGGCAGAAACTTCGGTCACCTAGTTACCATCTTTGAAAACATTTATGGAATTGCAGTTTCGGTTTGCAAGCTGCTGAATACTGCTCCCCCCTCCCATTCTAATGGCAACTCTAAAAGGACCATAGAAATATCTTACGAGTTGATATTGTGCTTTGCTGCTGATTTTCTGCTTTTTTTTTCTCTACCCAGGCAGTCTATGGAGTCCTAAGGGTCATGGAAGGCTTGGAGGCTTTTGGAGATGTGATGGAGCATACCAAGATCCAGCCTTGGTACCGGCGCGTGGAGGATGCCATCGGGCAGGGGGAGGCAGCCAGCTGGGCACGGTGCTGAGTCTCGGGGGCGGGGGGAGGGATCAAGGTTTTGCCTCGCCTAGGAAAAGCTGTTTTGATTTAAAGCAGTGTAGTTCTGCGCGTTGGACTGGAATAGAACCAAATCACGAATCTCAAAGCAGCAAGATGGAGATACGGATTTATTTTGATTTTAGAAAAGAGGTTCGAAGAGCCAGGGACGAGGCTGTGTTCTTTGGAGGCTGGACTTTGAGTTAAAAGCAACTTGTCTTTCTGGTCACTTTCAAAAACACGAAATTCAAGCCTGAAACGAATGCTCGGACGCTAAGCTACGAAGCCACTTCTGCCCCAGGCAAGAAAACATTTTGAATTGGCCTGACCGCTGCCTCGTTGCAAGCCTGATGAATTTAATTTTAGTACCAGCTTACGAAAGGAAATGTTTGTTTTTCGTGTTTGGTTTTAATGGTTATATATACAGTATATATATATATATATTCTGGGATGCCTGTTAAACCAGGTTTGACTTGCATTGGAGGCAGGTTTTCTCTTCGAATTGCAATTCCTTTTTTAGAAGCCTCTGAGTTGCTTATAGGTAGCCATTATAGGCACATACAATGCTTTTACAATGATATTCCTGTACAGTTTTGAAGAGTGCAATAGTCTTATTTGGGAGGGCACCTCTATTCTGATTCAAATAGGAAATTGGGAGCAGATATTTGGGGATAAGGATATAAGATCCTGACCTTAGAACTTTACGGAGAAACTTGGATTTAGCTAAGCTTAAAAAATGGGTCCTTGGTACCAATACCAGAATAGCTCAGGTGTGATTCATGTGCACTAATTTATAGCCTATACATTTATTTACTGTGGCTATGATACGTCAAAGGGTGCTTCGTCATGAATGAAATAACCTGCCAGGTTGATACAGCTTTATGTTTCAGAGTTTTAGAAGAGGGTTATAGACGTATTTAAGAACTGGCAACTAAAATGATTCTCATGAAATTAAATGCTATTTTGCTCAGAGGGATTTGCATTTACCTAAACAGGTCCCAAGCTGTTCCTGTTGGTGGTTTTAGTGAAACAGCCCTTTACTTACCATCCCTGATTTAAGCATAACGTTTGAGAAGTAAATTGAGGTTAAATGAGTGATTGCTTTGGGTATGAAATAACAAATACAGACATATTTGAGAAATAGTGAGATACAGGTTTCTCAAACTGGCTTTTTTGATCTGCCAGCAGAAGCCAGTCCCTTTTTGAGAGGCAAATTTTGAAGCAAAAAAAAAATCTTTACCATTTTCTGGGTGATCCCTAAACCGGTTGTGTGATGTTCAGCTTAAGAGGCAAAACTTTCACAAAGTTCTTCCAACTCAGGAAAGTAAGAATTAACAATAAAATGGATTTTTTTTTTTGCTGCTGTGACTTGGTAGTTTCCTATTGCAAAGCATTTCTATGAATACCTAAATAGTTTTTGGAGCCAAGTCTTATATTGAGCTTTATGGGAGTTCTAAAGGACACGTGTGTGTGTGTGTGTGTGTGTGTAAAAAAACCAGTGGGAAAAAAGACTTAGAAACTTTTTCAGAAATTTGTAAACTTATGGGGCTGATGTAGAAATAATGCCTTGTTTTCCCTCCTTTAGAAAAACCCTTACTGGATATAAAAAGGTCACAATTTGTTCATCTTTTCCACTTTGATCTCTCCTTGTACCCACCACTAATACAAAATACATTTTCTTAGCGTGACTTTTTATTTCACTAAAACTTATAGAGGAAAAAATGGGACTTCAAAGAAGAATAGATGGCCAGTTTATGGTAATAGGAGCAGAGGCATTTAAGCTTTAAAAAGCTGAGCCAATGAGAGGTTCCCCTAGTCAAGTTTTCCTTCTGGTCCTCACTAGCCAATGTTCCTCTTATCAGCTCCAGGCCAAGTTTAAAATGGAGTTCAAACACCTAGAGTGACTTCTCCCCTTTCTTCAGGGATTAGAGTTGGTGGTGTTGCTTTGCCTTCTTCCCATTCTTCCTCAGCATTGCCACAGATGACCCATAGGTCCCTTCTTATTGTTCAGCTCCAGAGCTTCCTCTTCTCTAAGTCCTCTTCTGCCTTCTAGTCTTCCCTTGTCTTCCCTCTTCTTCTGACTTCCAGCTCTTCTGAGGCTCCTGCAGGCAAGCTGACCCCTTTATATACCATCTCCCCCACCTACCCCCCCCACCTACCCCACGCCAGCAACTTACCTAATTGGTGGCCCGGGTTCAGACTTCTCTTCTCCATTGGCTCTCTTATCTGGCGAGACGATTGGCCCTTGGGCCCCCAGAAAGACCAATAGCCACCTGGTTGCCCAAGGCCGCCTTCCCATTGGCTGAAAGCGAAAGGCATTCAACCCTCACAGATCATATAAAAGGGCGTTCTACCAACCTGGTACCTCAGAGATGGTTGTTAGGTCTGAAGGTGCTTTTTTTCAATTGCACTTTCTGGTTTTTGTTTTGAAGATGTTTTGCTTCTCATCCAAGAAGCTTCCTCAGCTCTATGTTAAAGCTCTTATCTAAGTTATGGACTGAACCATAATCGGGGCCTACAGTGGATTTCCTTGTCATGTTGAACTCAAACCATCACAATCAGGCTTGAACTTAAGGTGGTTTCTTCACAGGTCCATTGTCGGCACCACCAAAGGAGCTGAGGGAGACATTTTGTTATAATTCTGATTAAAATCACCCCCTTAAACCGCTTAGAAAGCCCTAGTGAAGAATTGGCAAAGCCAGTTTTTGTGTGATGCTTTTGTGTATTTTTTTGCAGTTTAATTCTACACATTTAACACGTGTGAAGCCTTTAAAAAAAAAACGCCCCCCCAAAGCAAATTAAAATACTGCGGATAGAAAGGATCTGATGCTGAAGATGTAATTTTATCTATTTTTATTTATTAAATTCATATATTGCCCATCTCGCCATTCAAACCTGTGGGTGGCTTTACACTATAGTCAAAACAGAAATCTAATATATATATCCATATAAATTCCTTGTTTTGATATAATGCATATAAAGCCAGGGGATGATGGGAACTATAGTCCCAAACCCAGAAGGGTCTTGATTCCCTCAGGGCCCAGCATGAAGGAAGTCCAATCCAAACCGAAATATCCAGGTCCAGTATTCCCCCCCACCTCCCGAGCCATGATCCGATTTAATGGAGCCAAGGTGGTAGGGGATGATGGGAACTAGAGTCTCTAAACCCAGGAAGATTGCAGTAGATTTTCCCCACCACCCCTCATCCGACGGCCGGATTCCAGTTCCAGGTTTTCCCCAGAGCCGTTAGACAACCTAGGCCTGTCATTTTTTTTTTCCCCCTCTTCCCGCCCCTCCTTCCGTTCCCCCGGCAACGGCGCCGCGGCGTCCCCCTATCTCCGGACGCGCCTTGTGACGCCCCGCGCGGCGTCTCCTGGCAACGGAAGGGCGGGACTAAGGGCGAGAGCCGGGCGGCGGGCTGCAGGCGCGGGGCCAGCCGGAAGCGGAGGCGGTCACGAGGGCGCGCGGGAGGGGCGCCGTTTGGCGTGGGGTTTGAACGGTCCAATGGGGGAGCGGCGGGCGGCGTCTCGGAGGCCGCGCCGGAAGTTGCTCTGCGGGTCGTGGAGCGGCGGCTGTTCGGCGGCGGCGGCGGCGGCGGGGGGAGCCTGCCGGTGCTACAGCAGCAGCGGGAGCGGCGGCTGCTGCGGCAGCGGGGGAGGCGGCGGCGGCGGCTTCTGGCCGCGGCCGCCGACGCCCCGGCTCCCGTGTCTCCATGGTAGCGTGGGCAGCTACCGCCGCCTCATCCACGGCTTCGAGGACGTGCTGAGGCGGAGGCTCCGGGGTCATCTCCGAACCTCACGGTGAGACGCGGCCCCGGAGATGGGCGGCGGCGGTGGGACGGGGGGGGCGGGGGGAGGGAGGAATGTCAGCGACGGGAAGCCGCGTGCGCCAAACCGCCCCTTTGCTTTCCTCGGGTAGACTGCCCCTGCAGAGGGAGGCTCTGCTTTTGAATCTGAAGTCTGGGAGGTTTCTGGACTCGGTCTGACCGGGAATGACTGACCGACCCCCCCCCTCATGTCTATATCTGGTCTCTTCTCTCTTATGTCTCTCTAATGTCTCCCTCTCTGTGTCTGTCTGTCTGTCAATCTAGATCTATATCATATCTATCTCTAACCTCTTCTAACATTTCTATTTAATCTCTGTATATCATCTATATGTAATACCTTGTATCTGTCTTCTGTCTATTCTTTCTATATCTATTCTATCTATATCTGTCCACCCACCCACCCATCCATTTATATCTATCCATATCTATCATATATCTATTTATCTCTATTGTCTAGTAACTTTTGTATTAAGGTCTATTAAGATCTCTGTATGTCATCTATCTCTACAGTAATGTCTTGTATCTGTCTTCTATCTCTTCTCTTTCTCTCTGTAAATCTATCCTGTCTGTCTGTCTGTCTATCTATCTATCTATCATATATCTATCCATATCATCTTCTAACTTTTCTATTTAATCTCTGTATATCATCTATATATAATGTCTTGTATCTGTCTTCTATCTATTCTCTTTGTATATCTATCCTATCTATTGTATCCATCTATATCATGTATATATCTGTTTATCTCTATCGTCTTGTAACTTTTCTATTAAGATCTATTAAGATCTTAATAGATAGAAGGCAGATACAAGACATTACATAGAAATAGATGATATCATAGATCTTAATAGGTAAGATCTATGATATCATCTATTTCTACGTAATGTATCTGTCTTCTATCTATTCTCTTTCTCTTTGTAAATCTATTCTATCTATCTATCTATCTATCTATCTATCTATCTATCTATCGTCTTGTAACTGTTTTCTGTCTAATTTTTGTATATCATTTATCTAATCTCTTATTTACATTTATTTGCATCTACCTATTAGTTTATATTTAATGTCTTGTAACTTTTCTATCTAATCTCTGTATATCATCTATCTCTAACGTCTTGTATCTGTCTTTTATCTAATCTCTGTCTGTCTGTCTAGCTAATCTCTTAGCTATATCTTTATTATATTTTTTAAATTTATTGGCTGCCGATCTTACCACGAGGTAATTCTGGGTGGCTTACAATCCTAAAAACAACAACAACTATCCATATTCATTAAAACATAAGTTAAAACGAACCATTGAAATTGAATTACACATGGGGCGGTTGGAGGGAACATGGGATCAGTTGTTAATTCGATTTTAAAGGCAGGATGGCATTGCCAAAAATCTGTGGGATGGGTGTGTGCTTGAAATAGAAATATAGGCAGTCCTCGACTTAAGGCCACAATTGAGCCCAAAATCTCTTGCTAAGGAAGATAGCAGTTAAGTGAGTTTTGCTGTTTTACGACCGACCCTGCCCCAGTTGTTAATCAATGCAATTGTTAAGTTAGTAAACTCTGTTGTTAAGTGACTCTAGCTTCCCTGTTGACTTTGCTTGTCAGAAAGTCACAAAAGAGGATCACATGACCCTGGAGCCGTTATAAATAAGAGGCAATTAACAGGTGCCTGAATTTTGATCCCATTATTATGGGGATGCTGCAGTGGTTGTAAATGTGGGGGAAAAAAAGGCATAAGTTGCTTTTTTCAGTGCTGTTGTAACGTTGTACAGTCACTAAACAAGCTGCTGTAAGTCGAGGATTACCTGTAAACATTGCCAATTGTCAACAGCAACAAAAAAAGGCCTCTGTGGAAAAAGAAATCCTGAATTTCCTTGAAAAGCGCTAACTTCTTTTTTCTTTTCGTTTTTCCCCCTCTGCTTCCAGACTGTCCCCATCGATCAAGAGTGGAATAATCATCACAACCCAGAAACCCTCCACGCAAGACAGCGAAGCGCTATCTGTAGGTTACTGCGCCCACTGGGGCTCCCGTGAAGTCCCTTTTGACCCTTGAAATAACCGCACTAACCTTCATTTCAGGGGCGACATGGAGTTGCTTATAAGTGGTTGGATGGTGTCCAGGAAGCTTTGTGATAACCAATGAGCTGGGGAGAAATCTACATTTGTTGGCGTGTCTAGGGACAAATGATAAAAGGCAGGAGGGTGTTGCCAAAAGTCTATGGCAGGCGTCAGCAATCCACGGCTCTGGAGCTGCATGTGGCTCATCCCTCTGCTGCGGCTCCCTGTCGCTGGTTGGCTCCAACATTGATAGGGCTTTCGGTTAGGACCGGTAGAGGAAAAAGGACGCTGTGCTAGGAGGAGACTCTATGGTGGGGGAACCGGACTTCCAGCTGGCTCCAGAATTAAACAGTGAGCTTCCAGTTAGGGCTTTTGTGGCTCATGAATGCTTAAGGCTGCCGACCCCTCGTCTGTGGGTTAGTGTACACATGAACCCGTCGAAGTAATTCTTCATGTAAACGAACTATTAGTTGGTGTTCCTATTTTATGAAGTACATGGGGGTCCTGAAATTCAGCGGATTCCACAAGGGTTTTGGGTTTCCACTCTACATCGTCGTGCATCATTCTGACAGGCCAGTAAAAGAGAACGTGATTTGCTTCTGATACAGCTCTTCAAGTCACAATTTAGCTGGAGGGGGACGCCTTTTCCTTTAGGTGGAGGGACTTGGAAAGCTTAAAAAAAAAAGAAAGAAAAAGAAAATGACATTGATTTCAAAGTGCTTTTATTTGAACTGGTTCAAACAAGAAACATCAGCTGCCGGAGAGGATTCAGGTAAAAATTTTTAATCCGTGCTTAATGAGAACGGGAAGCCAAGGTTTCCCAATTCCTCCCGGGAAGGCTGCTGCAGTTCTCCAGGGTTGGTTCTGCTTGCGCTCCTCGGTGATCAGAGCACCAGGCTCAGTAGAGACAGAAATGTGGCTCTTTGGTAGGCTGTGGCTCTGTGGCAGGTTAAATTTGTGGAACGGGGATAGTTTAGGTCCTAAGGCTAAGAGTTGTTCCCTTCTGAGAGAGGCCGACGGGCCCGGGTTTTCTGTTTTGCTGTTGTTTTGTTCTGCCTCGATGGCCCCCGTGTTATTTCCAGTCTACTTATCCACAGGTTTCCCTTGCCACCCTGTTGAATGCCCCTTCCTGTTTGCCCGAGAAGAAGCATGAAGAGCCGTTCCACCACTCCCCCCTTGCACGTCCACGTGGATGAAAGTACCCCTGTCCATGTCCATATTAAAAAGGGTCAGAAAACGCCACCGCCGGCAAAAACCCAGGTATGAAGGGGCAGCCGGGGCGCCTTCCCGAGCTCTGCTCCCTCTGCAAGGCCAGTGTCTGCTTTGTGGCTGCTCCTCGGTCTCCGTGCCACCTTAACTCGCTCTACTGCTGCTGTTGCTTGAAGCTTCCCCTCTGTCTCTCTCTGCTGGGAATTGTCCATAACTGTATAAAATCACGGCTAGTGTTTCGGATCGGTTTGGTAGTTGTGGTCCCAATTTCCTCCATCCAAAATACCTTGCGTGGGAATTTTGCTCAGAATCAGCTCTGCTCCGGCAGGAGGACGGATCTTGGCTCGTTCCCTTCTGTAGCCCCATCGGAGGGGAGGTTTGTCACGGAAGTAACAGAGGACAAAGTTGTGAGGAGGAAGAGGAGAAGAAACTGTAATTTTTTCTTAGCAGGGTTGTGTGAATTTCCTATCGATCAGCTTAGCTCCTGGGCAATGGAGGGAAAAGGCAAACTGCTCCTTGGAGGAGGGAAGGGATAAAATTCTGTTTCAAAGATCAACGTGTGAAGAGCTCCAAAACCGATGAAAGTGGCTAGGAAGGAGTTATTTCGGGGTCTCCGGGGTTTTTTCCCCACGCTTCCAGTCCCTCGACCGGCTCATTGGGTTGGTGTCCCTTAAAAGTCACGATTTGTGTGGCTGTGCTTAACTGAACTGCCTGCACGGTTGGGAAACCACGGTTGGCCTCAGTGATGCAGGGAGGGGTGTCCTACCCCTTGAGCTCCCCCGGGCCACTTTTGGAAGAGCCCCAGGGACTGTGGTTCTCGGCTGCCAGGCCCCAAATCGCCCCCCCCCCAATCTAAGCTTCCCAGGGTAACTAAGGGCCTGCTTTGCATCACAAGAGGCTGGGCAGCCTGAGTGATGTCACAATGGCCCTGGCTAACCCAGCCCCGATGCTCCTGCCAGTCTGTCCCCATACTCTCCTAGCTATGCGGTACCTATATTTCTTTTTCCTGAGTGTGGTTACTGAGACTGATCTGTGATGTAGAATGTGACGCTTTTTCTGTGGTACAACCTCTTGGCATGCCTCCGGGGGCGGCGGGCTGGGGGTGTGTGTCGAGGGGGCGGGGGGAAGAAGCCTCCGTTTGCTTTGCAGAGTCTCGCCCCGCGGTCGCCGGTCGGGGAGGGGGAGATCGAGGCTCAAAAGCTGTTCTCCTCCTCCTCCTCTTCCTCCTCCTTCCTCTCTCCCCCTCTCCCCCCCCCCCCACAGCAGAGGCACAAGCAGAAAATGAAAGGGGATACCGTGAATGTGCGCCGCAGTGTCCGAGTAAAAACTAAAGTCCCCTGGATGCCCCCAGGCAAAACATCTTGCAGAGAATCATCGTACAAGTGGGAGGTAGGCAAAAGGCGTGGGGATTGGCCGCGGGGACGCGACCGTTGTTAAGTGTGAAAAACAGTCCCGGATCCCTTTTTTCTGGCGCCGTCACAACTTTGAACAGTCACTAAACAAACCGTTGTACGTCTGTATTGTATTTCCGTGGAAGAAGGTCCCACGGGGGGGGCTCCTGGTCTGTCCTAAGTCATCCCAACGCTCTTCCGGTGTGCTTAGCACACCTCCTTCCGTGGACGGGGCGAGCGGTGGCTGCTGCCTCCCCGCCCGGCCTCGCCCTCCGCCCTCCTCTTTCCCCGTCAGACTTCCCTTTTTCCACCCTCTTCCCCACCGCTTTGGTTTCTGGAAGGCAGCCGGCTTAGGGGAGGCTGCTCCGGGGTTTGGGCTCTATCCTGTTTCGCTCTTGCCACCCTTAATCAGGGACCGACCCATCGCCTGGAAATCACCCCTCCAGATTCCGACAAGTTGCTGTCTGTGCTTCGCTTGAGTGATCTCTCCACCGACGAGGAGGACGCCATTCACTGCAAGATGAACAAATACGAGAAGAAGATCGACAGCTTACTCAATGTCGTGGGAACATTGAAAAACGAGGTGGGGGAAACTGCACTTGAATTGTCCCAAAGGGGCCTTATTTTATATTTATTTTTTTTCTCTTTCCCGCAAGAGGCGACGGGATTTTCTGTCGGGTTTTTTTTTTTTTCCTTCGCTTCTCTTCGTCCAGCTCTGACTGGAGGGTGGGGGAATGGAAGGATTTATATTCCTTGTTGGTCATTTGCATCCTTCTAGTTGAGGCCACTTCGTCAGGGTCACCTGAGTGACGTAGATGGGTGTGGAGTCCTTTCATCAGTTTCAAGAAGGCTTCACACCCCATTTGCGCCACCCGGGTGGCCCTGAGGACGCACATAAACCCCCAAGTGGCCTCAACGACTCTGAAAGAACGCAAACGACCAGCAGTCTGCAAGGAGTACAACGCCTTCCATTCCCCGCCATCCAGTCGGAGCTGAAGAAGCTTCTCGGATGAGAAGTGAAACGTCTTCAAAGAAAAAAAAAACAACAAACCCAGAATCTCCAGTTGCCTCTTGAAAAAAAAAACAACACCTTTGGGACAACCCTGACCTGGATGGCTGAGAATCTCCATCGACATTACGCTTGAATTGTATCCCTCCTCCCTTTTCACACTCACGAGCCCGACATACCTGGAAAGAACCATACCTGAGGACCCAGCATCGTTTGAGCTTTTGAAAGAAATTTAACAAAGTGGCTCTTCCCCCCAATCCTCCCCACCCCCCACCAAAGAAAAGGAACAGCAGTAAGACAAAGAAATTATTATTTTTTTCAATATTTTTATTGTGGTCTTTGACCAGCCCTGACTTAATGTTTCCTTCCTGCACAAGTCTTTGCTTTTACTGCTAGGCAGCTAGTAAGAATTAAGTAGAATTTGCTTTTTTTATTCCCCCCGCCTGCTTATTTGGAGCTGCCTCCTTAGAAAAGAGCAAAGGAAGAATAAAATGGCCTCTGGTTTATCTTTCCAAAAATACAGTTTAACATCGATGTCCAAGAAAGTCCTCTTGTTTACTCAACCTATACAGGTGCTGATAAGTCAGATTAGAGTCTGTTGATTTGTGTCTGTGATTATGAGCCACGGTGGTGCAGTGGTTAGAGTGCAGTACTGCTGGCTCCTGCCGGCTGCCTGCAATTTGGCAGTTCAAATCTCACCAGGCTCAAGGTCGACTCAGTCTTCCGTCCTTCTGAGGTGGGTCAAATGAGGAAACACAAAAAACAAGCACTATAAAGCGGTATATAAGTCTAAGTGCTATTGCTATTACCCGCTCGCTGATCAGGAAAAATGTTGAAGCCCTGAAGGTTGGCATTCAGGAAATTTAGGATTGACGACTGGAGCGGATTGACTAAACCAGAACACATTCATATGACGTGGTCCCACATTCCCTGAGAGTGACCATGGGGTTGCCGTGGATGAAACTCTCACGCGTTGACCCCGTTCCGCTTGTCCTCAGGTCAAGATGCCAAAGGCTGTTGGGACAGGCTGTGTGGCCAAGCGTCTTCTGGAGGAGCAGAAGGACGAGTTGGACGAGGTCACTCAGGAGCTGGTGGAGACTGAACACGAGAACACGGTCCTCCGTCGCAACATTGAAAGGATGAAGGAGGAAAAAGATCTCAGCATGTAAGGGAAGGTTGGCCAACTTGGGGTGGGGGAAGGGAACCGCTAAGCAATGGTCTTCTCCTAAAGAAGTTCTGTAGAAGAAGCTCCAACCTTGGCAACTTTATGACGTGTGGACTCCCGACTCCCAGAAATCCTCAGCTAGCCATGATGCGGATTCGACGCCGTGCTGGCTGGCTGAAGAATTCTGGGAGTTGGAGTCCACAAGGCCTAAAGTCGCCACAGTTACGAGCCCCCTGCTGTGGAGTATTATAAGCCCATTTCTTTTGGCTTTCGCTCCGTCTCCCAAAGGTGCATTTTCATGGGGGCAACAGGAGTTGCTTGTTCCTTTTGAAGACGTTTTGCTTCTTATCCAAGGAGCTTCTTCAGCTCTGACTGGATGGTGGGGAAGGGAAGGATTTATATTCTTTGCAGACATAGCAGCTCACTTGCATTGTTTTTGAGAGCCAAGAAGGCCACTTGGAAGGATTGATCCTCCTTGCAGGCAGCTGGTCATTTGCCTCCTTTGAGAGGGTCGTTGAGGCCACTTGGAGGTTTGTCAGTGTCCTCAGGGTCACCCGAGTAGTCAACAGTGAAGGGACACAGGGCAGAAAACATCCTGCGGTGAAGAAGGCTGCCCACCCATTTGCACCACTCAGGTGACCCTGAGGACACAGATAAACCTCCAGGTGGCCTCACCGACCCTCTCAAAGGAGGCAAATGACCAGCTGCCTGCAAGGAGGATCAATCCTTCCATTCCCCACCATCCAGTCAGAGCTGGAGAAGCTTCTCGGAGGAGAAGCGAAGCGTCTTCAGAGGAAAAACCAGAAAGTCCAGTTGAGGAAAAAAAGGCATCTTTGGGACGACAATCCGTTGTGCGCGCATGAGTTGTGTAGGCCAAGCTTTTGGCCTCGGGGATCGAGGTGGGAACTTTTTAGCTTTTTAGCTAGAGACCCGCCGAGTAAAAGAGACGTTTGGGGGTCCCCCGCCCCCTCTTTGTGATCTTGCAACCCTTCCCTTCGCCTCTTCCTCCGGGATTGACGCGTTCTCCTTTCCAGACTCCAGAAACGGCATCTGTTGCACGAGAAGGAGTGTTTGATGTCCAAACTGGTGGAGGCCGAACTGGATGGGGCAGCTGCTGCCAAACAGATCCAGGCCTTGAAGGACGTGATTGGGAAGCTGAAAACGGTACGGGGAAGAGCTGGCGGGGGCAGAGGGGCAGTGATCTCCTCTCTTGGGGAGGGACGCAAACGGAGGTTACAGGCTGTCCTCGGTTTATGACTGCAGTGGAGGCCAGACTTTCCGCTGATAGGCGTGAGTTGCTAAACGAGCCGTGCCCGATTCTACAACCCTTTTTGGGGCCCCCCTCCCCTCCGAATCACAGTGCAGGTCGTTCCTGACTTACAACAGTTTTCATTGAGTGATGACGTTGGGAAAAGGGGGACCCACGGCTGTTTTTCCACACTTTACGACCTTCGTAGCCTCCCCCGTGACAACGCAATCAGAATTCAGGCGCGTGGGCAACTGGTTCATACTTAACGGCTGTCGCTGTGTCCCAAGGCCATGGTAATCCGCTTTTGTGGCCGTCGGACAAGCAAAAATCGGAGGGGGAAGCTGGATTTGCTTCACAGCCATGATATCAGCCTGGAGCGGTTCACTTAACAACGTCAAGAAAGTTCGTGAAACGGAGCAAAACCCCATTTGAACAAAGGTCTTGCTTAACAACAGAAATGTTGTGGGCTCCCAACGCGGTCGTTAAAGCGTTCAGTGGATGGCGCAGTTGTTCAGCAAATCCGGCTTCCTTCCCTGGCTTGGCTTTGTCACGGGAAAAGCCGCCTAGAGCGATCGCGTGAATCGGGGGCCTGGCAACCGTTCTAAATAGCTGCCAAGCGCCCAAATGCGAATCCCAGGCCATCTTTACAAAGCGCCAGAACTGGTCGTAGAAGTCTCTTTTCATTCCGGCTGCTGTACCTTTGGACGGTCGCTAAACAAACAGTTGTACCCCGAAGGGCTACTTGTGTCATCGGGGGCCCATAGAAGAAGAGGGGTCCCTTCGAAATAGTCTTGGGAGCGTGTCAGATTCAGAGAAGAGCAATTTTGACACGTTACCTTTCTTCCCTTCCCGTGGCATCTCCTGTGAAACCTTGACCGCCTCCCGAATCGCAGGAGAAGAATATGACCGTTTCGGACATCAACACCCTGACTAGGCAGAAGGAATTGTTGCTGCAGAAACTGAGCACTTTCGAAGACACCAACCGGACCCTTCGAGATTTGCTCAGAGAGCAACACAACCGGGAGGTGAGTTTGGCACGAGAAGATCCTGGTCCAGCGGGATTCCTCCAACCCCAAAGCAGGCCCAGCCTTTTCATTTTAAACCTTTAAAATTTAATAATCAGCCTGTCTGTGTCCTGACCAAGGCTTCCCTGAAGACACCAGCAAACACACCTCAAATCCAAAACTCTTTGATTTTAATTCAATGGCTGTGGAATTATCATCATTCACAGCCCGTAATGAGCCTCAACCGGTTATAAATAGTCCCATGGAAGTCGGCCAAGGCCCTTTGGGAGAAGTCTGATAAGGACGCACCTTTATGTGCTGCCGACGCCTAAAGTACCAATTAGTCTTTCAAAATCAAACGGAGCACAAATTCCCCAATGGAGCTTTCAGGTTTCAAACTGATCAGAACGAACAAAGTTGCTTCCTGCAAAGGCTCCTGTCCCTTTGCTCCTCCTTCATGTCTTATGAGAGGGGCCAATCAACTCCAAGCCCTACTCCCAAGTCACCCCTTTCGTCTTAACTGTTCTTGCCTTCTGGCAGCTCTGCGCAAGCGCGCACTGGAAACAGGCTCCCGCTGTTCCTCTGCCTCACTGGTGTCAGATTCTGGAGGCTCCAGAGTCAACACATAACTCCCAGGTGGCCCTGGCCCCATCTCTGTGTCGGACACAGAGTTCTCTCCAGACTCCCAGACTGGCCCCTGTTTTTCCCCACTGTCCGATTCTGCTGCTGTCTCCGCAGGCCGCCAGTCTGATGAAAATATCGGGATCAGCGTTCTGGTGAACGCTCACCAGATCCACTCCTGCAAATCCTTTTCCAGATATCCCCCAGGAGATCTATAACCTCTGACCTTCTAAGGCATTGCCAACCTCTGCCCCGCCCACCCCCAATACAGATCCCAGAAGCATGGAGAAGTTGACAGGAAGCATTAAGTAAATTATTTCACAGTGGGCACATTTTGGTGAGACGCTCTGGGCCGTTCAGGTTTTGCCCCGAACCGATCTGTACTTCGTCATTGCAAGGGTTTGCACGGCGGAGAGGTATCAGTGACCCCTAAAGTAGGAGTCTAAAAGTATTTCAGGGACCACCTAAAAAAAAAACTTCTCCAAGCCAGAAGGCCCAAGAAGAACCTCTTCCTTAAAATCGATGTGTCATTCCCACTGGATCACCTGACCTGAATATTACCTGAATTTTTTTCCCCCTTCTCTTTTACAGAAAGATGCGCAAAAGTTGACAGAGCAGCAGACTACCCTGATGAAAAGGCTGACTGACTCCGATACAGAGAAGGCGGTAAGTAAACACAGCGAATTTACTATATGCATATTCGTACATCTACCTACATGCATACCTACCTAGAGTAAATATATAGAAGCAAGATCACATGAAATGATAACACTTTGTAATGTTTTGGTCAGACCACACCTGGAATACCACATCCAGTTTTGGTTGCCACAATATAAAAAAGATGTTGAGATTCTGGAAAAAGTGAAAAAAGCAACTAAGATGATTAAAGGCCAGGAGACTAAAACATGTGAAGAACAGTTGCAGGAACTGAGTATGGCCAGCCTAGAAAAAAGAAGGACTAGCGGGGACATGATGAGCAGTCTTCTAATATTTGAGGGGCTGCTATAAAGAAGGGAGGGGGCTGTTCAACTTATCCTCCAAAGCACCAGAAGGCAGGACAAGAAACAACGGAAACTAATCAAGGAGAAATCCAACCTAGAACTAAGGAGAAATTTCCAGACAGGGAAGACAATCAGTGGAACGGCTTGTCTCAGAAGTTGTGAGTGCTTGAGCCATCACTGGAGGCTTTGAAGAAGAGACTGGACAACCGTTTGTCTGGAATTGTGTAGTGTCCTGCTTGAGCAGGGGGTTGGACTAGAAGACCTCCAAAGTCCCTTCCAACTCTGTTATTCTGTTTACGTTACTCAGGCGTTGAGTTTTCTTGCCCGCGTATCAATAACACTTCAGTTAGAACTTTCTTTTTTCATCATTTTAAATTGGGAGTGGCAGGTGGTGCTCTAGACCCAGGGAAATCCCCCTCCGTACGTGATCTGATCGAAATAATCTGCTTAAATATTTTTTAAGTTATTTTTTTTCCCAGTCTGCTTTTGCAAGGAACGTAACCTGTGTTTTCAGTGGCCATGTTCTCACAGAGCAAATTACCTGTCGCTTTGTACACCGAGGGCTGCATTTTCCGAGTCCCCTCCTCTCTGTTGTTAACTTGGCTATCCTGTTTCATTACGCCCGCAATTTTACCCCTTCTCTGATTTTGCAGCAATTGGTCAAGAAACTACAAGAAAAAGAAAAGGAAGTGGATGATTTATTGATTCAGATACAGACCGAAAAGGTACGTACTCCCCGTGTGGGGTGTGTAGAAGGGGAGAGTGGGGGGTGGAATGAATAATGCAAAGGAGCTTTTGTGCGGTTGTGTCGGTCGCAACGTGGACAATTCTAAGTTCTTTGTGTTTTGCTTTTACACTTTTGGCTTCTAGGACCAAGCCAAGACGGCCGCTGAGCTCTCCAAGTCTATGGAAGCCGTGAGGGGTCACTTACAAGCCCAACTGCGGAATAAAGAAGCCGAGAATCACCGCCTGGGTATCCAGATCCGGGTACGGGGCCTTGTCCTTGTTTGCAGAGAGGGGACCTGGGGATGCCAGCGTAACAATAGCTTGTCACATCAAGCTATAGAGCACAGGTGCCCAACCGTGGCAACTTTTAAGACTTCTGGACTTCAACTCCCAGCATTCCCTCCTAGCCAGCCAGGAAGTCTCTTAAAGTTGCCACGGGTCGGACATCCCTGCTGTAGAGCCTATTTTTAAACACGTCTCTAGTTGTTTACTTGAAGTCATAAAAGACAATGATAACGACGAGCCTCTCTCTGGCTTGTTAGCTTGCTCGACCCTCGGGGAGATTTTAACTTAGGAGGATTATTGAAAAGTCATATTTTGCCTACAGGTAGGATCCAGTCAGGTTGCTGCATGGGTAGACCAACTCCCAGCCTTTGAATTTTGGGTTTTTTGGGGGGAGGAGTGGTGGATCCAATTATGGAACAATTGGGATCAGAAGCCGTCTTCCAGTAAGACGAGAAGGTCTTACTTCAGAATAAGTGGTTGGATTGGGATCAATCTCCAATTGCTGCCTAGAAATAACCACCTAGATCTGGTTTCTCTATTCTCTTGGCCATCCTCTCCAACCTTCTCCTCTTCTGGAAGAAGTCTGAGATACCGTCTGTCCCAAGGAACGGTGGGTTTTACAGGACATATATTTGACCTCTCTTGCTATTAGGCAGGTCTTATCTCTGCAGACCCCGCCCCCCACCAAAAAAAGATTGTTCTTATTAAGGAGTCCAGTTCTGGAGCAGTCATGACCACAGCAAACGCAGCTTTGTAGTTGTGTCTGCTTTGGCTAAACATTGTTCAACTGATTAAAAGAGGGCTATGAGGCAGCCTCTTGCGTTTCTGCTGCCTCTGCCCTGAGGACCCGAAGCTCTGACCATCCTTTTGGGCACCCTGATGGCCTGCCTTCCCTCCCTCCCTCCCTCTCCACAGAATCTGGAGCGGGTAGCAGCTCAGCACAAGGCCGAAGTGGAGAACATCATGGAACAATTGAAGGAGCTGAAGGCCAAAGGAGATCGGGACAAGGAAGCCCTGAAGAAAGCCATCAAGGCACAGAAGGAACGAGCAGAGCGGGCTGAGGAGTTTGCCGATCAACTGAACGTCCAGTTAGCTGAAAAGGTGAAAGCTGGGCGTTTCAGGGTCTCAGGCCACAGCTGGGAAAGGACCTCCTGAAGCCACCCCAAAAAAGGGGGGCATTGATTGAGAGAGGTGCCTCAGAGTAGGGAGAAGGAGAAAGGTTTGGGGCGCAGAAGAAGAAGGGCAGTCTTGACTGTAGAGTTGCCAAAAGAAGATGGTCTGGTAGTCAAAGGGTATTTAATAGGCTTGAAGGTCTCTGAAGATGCTTTGAAGGTATCTAATGATACTTTGAAGTTATCTAAAGATACATTGCGTGTCTCTGAAGATACATTTAAGGTATCTAATGATATCTTGAAGGTATCTGAAGATCCTTTGAAAGTCTATGAAGATATCTTGGAGATATCTAATGATACCTTGAAGGTATCTGAAGATACTTTGAAACTCTATGAAGATATCTTGGTGATATCTAATGATACCTTGAAGGTATCTGAAGATACTTTGAAACTCTATGAAGATACCTTGGTGATATCTAATGATACCTTGAAAGTATCTGAAGATACTTTGAAAGTCTATGAAGAACTTGAAGGTATCTAATGATACCTTGAAGGTATCTGAAGATCCTTTGAAGGTCTATGAAGAACTTGAAGATATCTAATGATACCTTCAAAGTATCTGAAGATACTTTGAAAGTCTATGAAGATATCTTGAAGGTATCTGATAGAAGGTATCTGAAGAGCAGTTGGCCTGGAGGAAGCATCTTTGACGTTTTCCCAAAATTAAATTTCTTTTGGGAGTTCTCTGCCTTCCATCCTCTTGCTTCCATTATTATCCCTCTCTTCCTCTTCAGTAACATTCCCCTGTCCTAGATGAAGAGTGGCTTAGCACGGCCATCACTGGCTCCCAAACTCACCCTCATCTTTCCCTATGTCTCCCGCCTTACGTGGTAGGATGCCTACGTGGCCGAAGCACTGTCCACCCTAGAATCCTGGCGGAATCGTTACAACCAAGTTGTGAAAGACAAAAGTGACCTCGAGGTGGAGATTGTGATGCTGAACAGGTGAGAACCACGAGGGGGGTGGCGGCGGCAGAGGAACGGGCTCTTGCAGTAACCCCAAACCTCGGCCGGTAAGACCATCTCCGCCTCATCGCTGCAGGGCATTAATTTCAGCCAATGGAAATTGGTCTCTCTGGCTGTGAGGTTTTGTGGTTGTGAAGGACGGCGCCTTCTCAGTAACGGCCCCAACTTCTTGGAATGGCACCTGATTTGGGGGGGCGGTGTCCCCCTTTGGGTGGATGCCAAATTCAATACATTTTAGTTGCAATTCAGCTCACGTTGAATGCGTTACTAAAGCAGTTCCTTACTTAACAAGGAAAATGTTGGGCTTTGAGTTAGCGTCTTGTCTGCCGTTCCTAATTTCCTTCATTGCTTTCACGAGACCCGGATTGAGTATTGAATCTGAATTTTAATCCACTCTCGGATTCGGGTTTTGTTTTTTTTTAAGCCAGAAAACAGCTCGTAAATCTTACTAGTGGTACCAGGTAGCAAGAAAGCAAGATGGGTTCATCCCCCCCCGCCCCCTCAATCCCTGTCACTCCTGTGGAAGCTTGCAGCCTTCCCCGCCTTGTGAGATTCTGCATCGCGAGGCCGCTGCTTGCTTTCCCCCCTCACCGGTAACGCTTGATTCCCCTTTGCTGTGCGGCAGCCGTATTTCCGAGCTCCTGGAACAGCAGAACACCATGGAAGAAAAAATGCGGGAAGACCGAGATATCTTGGTCGATAAACTGCACAAGCAGGTCACCGAAAGCACCGCTTGCAAACTGGAGAACGAGAGGCTGAAGGTGAGTAGAGAGGAACAGGTGCAAGAGCGGGATTGGACGTCGATTGCTTGCGTCCTCACAAACGCATCTAACTCTTACGGGCTGGACACAGATTTGACTCTAGTCTACTTCTTGTAATTTCACCAGAACTGGCCGAGTTGCTCTTCGTAGTCTCTACCAAAACCGGGGAATCTCCTCATGTATAACTAACTTTTTGCAACTTGGGAGTTGTTCTCAGGGGAGCTGGCAGACATCAACTAAAGCAGATCCTGGATTACTTAACCTCTGAAACCTATGAGGCCCTTGATAGCAAGAGAATTCCCTTATCCTGGGCGAACCTAGTTAGGGAAGTCCTCCTTTCCGGAATAAACCCAAGTTTATTTTTGTGGTCCCTGCAGACTAGCTTGATTCCAGTGGAGGAGCGGCTAAACCAGGCGCAGCAGGAAGTGGCGAAGTTGAAGGGTTCCCTCAAGAACTACGAAGGCCTGATTGAAACCTACAAGAATCAGGTAGAGGATTTCACCCTCCTCCAGAAGTAGCACGGTCAATCGGGGCCTGAGCTCTGTTCGCTCTTCAGGTTTTCTCGCATTCCACACGATGCTCTTCCATTCTGGGTGTTCGTTGAGAGCCCCGCGTCCAAACTAGAACCTGCTTGGGTTAGGGTTAAACAGAACAGGACCACCCTCAAGTATTTCCTGGTCCAAGAAATAGCAGCTCTTGGGGGTTTTTTAAGAGGATTTTCTGCCAGGGCCAAGTCTCCCCAAGCCTCAAACATAGAAAAATTCCCCGTTGCAGGAGAAGTTGAAGTGTAGGAACCCCGCTAGGCCAAAATGTAGAAAAAAAACCCTCAGAGGTCCTCGTTTCATTCTGGCATCTCCCCAAGTTTTCCATGATTTGAAGGTGGAGGGCATGACATAACCTAAGCCAGTGGTTCTCAGCCTGTGGACCACAAACCCCTTGAGGAGGTTTAAGAAAAGGTTATTATTGTGGTTCTGGAAATGCTGGGCTGCCATGCCCGTCATCCTGCCTGTTCCCATACTACCGTGACATGAATTGATGGGGTTTATAGCTGGATACGCCTTACAGGCTCTTGGTTGACTCTCTTAATCCCAGGAGGTGCTGAGATAAGCAAGTGTTGGCCTTGCCTAAATTTATCCTGGGGGTTCCCGGATTACCTTCCACGTTGTCTTATTTCTCTTCCCCCTCCCCCCAGTTTTTAACTTTTATTTCTTTTATCCAGGTGGTGAAAACTCGCATGGAAGCCGATGAGGTGACAGTGAAATTGGAACTCTGCGACAAAGAGAACAAAGCGCTGAAGGAAGAGATGGCCAAGGAGATTGAAAATGCAAGTGTCTGGCTCCTTTTTTCTTGAAAGCTCTCCGGGGGCCTGTTCAGTTCCTCCTTTTTTTTTTGGAAAAGGGCTGAACAGGAGCACACACACCCCTTGCATTCACTCCCCTTTAAAGGGGAAAAATTCTGCCTGAATTAGACCTGCTGGCAGTTCACTTCTAATTGCTGCTTTTTTAAAAAAATAAGAAAAAGACAAATGACAATTTGGACAAGCTGTAGCTCAGAGGGGATCGTGCGGAAAATGATCCAGCCCACCTCTGAGTGCCTGGCTTCTCAAATTTATTTCGGCCTTCTTCCCATCGTTCTAGGCCGGACATAGCCAATGGAGAATTAGCACAATTAACCCTCCAAGAAGACAGTGGCGTATATAATACCCATTGGGGTTGGGGTCTCCCAACATCCAAGGGACCCCTCTTCACTCCCACCGGTCTTCCTTCTGCCCACAGGCTCGCAAGCAGTTCCAGAGCCAAGTGGCCGAGCTGGAGAAACTTCCTGAGATCCTGAAGATGACCGAGACCAAGCTGGCTGAGTGTCAGGAGCAGCTTAAGAGTTATGAGAAGAAAAATATGGATCTGTCTGCCATGATTACAGACCTCCGTCAGCGGGTAAGGGATTGGCAGAAGGCGCCCACGCGAACCTCCAGCCGGGGACCAAAATGAGCTTCTAAAGCATCAGGAAGGTGCAATCTTTGTCTCTTGTCTCTTTTTGAAATGATTAAAACAGCTGCACGGCAGAATAAACAGAACCCTGGCGTGCCTGTGTTTCATTTGTGTTGTGCTGTCTCCTTTTAAGCCGTGTGGAGTTGGCTCTGTCCCTCTCTCGTTTGTCTTTCCCGGGCCGACGGTCAGAATGCCTCCCTCTCGTGTGCTTCGCTTTGCTTGCAGGTAGCTGGGGGATCCCCTGGGGCCATGGCGAGGAGAAGCCCTTCCGCGCCGGATCAAACTAGCGTCTGAAAAGGCGGAGGGGTTTTGATGCACCGTGGGGAAGAGGCTCGCCTCCCCACTCGGAAGGTTGAGAGTTCAATCCTAGGTAGTAGCGGCAGATCTTTCTCCTAGGACGCCAAGAGAAAAGATCTGCTGTGAACTCCCGCGAGGCGTCAGGAAGGGCATCCAGCCAGTAAACGCTCAGCTCTATCCAGTCACCCCAGCTTCAGTGATTACAGGGCTGTAAAAAGGAATTTATATATATATATATATTTATTTATATATACTTTCCCGTTTTGTGATCCTTCCCCACTATTCAAAGAAGCTATTTGTGGTTATTTAATGGCGGGGTAAAGATGGTAGCGATCAAAAGCTACTTTTTCTTGTTCCGTGCCTCCCAGAAACTTGCCCGCCCTGGAACAGATCCCAGCACTCAACTCCCATTGGCTGTATTTCTACAAAAGCTGCTCTCTTTTCCTATGTCTTTGCACTCAAGCTGGTTTGATCTCCTCGCTCGCTTTCTGTTTCCAAAGCAAGTTTTGTTTCCGTATAGGAAAAAGAGCAGCACCTGTATCCTAAATTCTCCGTGTTGTCTTTCCCCCACACCCCCTCTCTTTCCTTTTAAATCCCTTCTTTTTAGATTGAGCTTCAGGGGGACAAGATGGAATTGACAAGAGAAAAGTATCAGTCGGCCCAGGAAGAGAATAAACAGCTGGCCCTCAAGTTGGAAGAGATGGAGAGGTTTGTAAGACTGGGGTGATACTTGAGGGGGGAGGAACATATCGCGCTGGTTTAACTGGCAGTTTCTTGGGAAATTCTGTGTTCTTGACAAACAGCATTTGGTGTCTTCACTCGTTTGAATTATTGGGATCAAAAAAATCAAATTAAGTCCTCACAATCCATCAAGACCCACTTCTTTGGGTCCATCCAGAGGTCTCCAAATTTTGCAATTTTAAGACTTGTTTAGTTTACTTTATTGTCACTGCACCTTGTATAATGAAATTAAATACCATCTTCAGTGTACATTATGACTCTGAAAATAAACACACACCTCCTTCACGTTCTGTACATTGAATTGAAAGCCCCTGATGTTGCATTCATATTGCACTATGCGGTAGAATTCAGTAGAGTTACTGCCCTGGGGTAGAAGCTGTTTTTTCAGCCTATTTGTCCTTGTTTTTATTATCCTGTACCGTCTGCTAGATGGTAATAGTTCAAAAAAAGAAAAGGGTGCCCAGGATGAGATGGATCTTTGAAAATGTTTTGAACTTTAACCCTCTGGAATTGAATTGTGGAACTCAAATCCCAGAATTCCTCAACCTCCACGCCGACTGAGGAATTCTGGGAGTTGAAGCCCACAAGTCTTTAAAAGTTGCCAAGTTTGGAGACTCCTGGCTTTAGTCAGTCAAAGAAAACTTATTGATCCGTCCACTGATAACCATGTTGGAGCTCTTTTATTCTGAAAGGCCGCAGCTGCCCATAAATCACGGTGTGGTTGCACTTTAGGAAACTTGAAGCGACCAGCGGGCAGAACGTAGAATTCCTCCAGATCATTGCGAAAAGGGAAGAGTCCATCCACCAGGCCCAGCTCCGGCTAGAGGAGAAGACCAGGGAGTGTGGCTCCTTGGCACGCCAGCTGGAGATGGCCTTGGACGACGCCAAGAAGCAGGTTGGTCCTTCCTTGGGCGTTGGGTGGGATAGCTGGGCCTTCTCCCAAGTCACTTGAAGAGCCAACTGTAGAAGACTTAACGGGGAGGAGATTGTGGTGATTACTCCATCACGTCTTCCAGAAAACTCTGGAGCTTGGATCCTTCCAACCCCTTTTGAGGGTAGCATTGGCCTTTGAGAGAAAAACCAACAACTCTTAAGATGTATCATAATGAAGCCAAGATCCTCATTGGAAGATGAAAAGAGACCAGGCAGCAGCCCTCCTTCCTGGGATGGAGATTGGCCCTTGCTTACCCCCATCGCTCTCTTTCTGCCTTCTTCAGTTGGAGCAAACGAGGGACCGTGCGGCTGTAAGAGAGAGGACAGCCCAGTCAAAGATGCTGGACCTGGAAACCCAGCTGAGCAAGACGAAAACCGAGCTGAACCAGCTACGACGCAGTAAAGATGATGTAAGGAGACTACAACAGTAGACCACCTCCATTTTAGGAAACCTAGCCTGGCTGTTTTTATGTGGGGAAGACCTACGGGTTCAGTGGTGGTTTCCGTTGATCATGCACGAGTGCGGATTTTTTTTTTATTATCTTGGAGCAGGGAGGGAACAGTTGGAGGTCTTCAAGAGGTTCTCCACTTGAGTAGCGCGGTGGCCTAGCGCTGGAGCTCTTGCCTCACAGTCAGGAGGCTGTGAGTTTGATCCTAGGTAGAAGCAGATATGTCTCTGGGCACAATGAGAATATATATATCTGCTGAACAAAAACTCCGCATTGGCAACAGGAAGGGCATCTGGCCAGTAAAAACTCCGCTCCATTCAGTGGCCCGCAAAAGAGATTACGGGGTCTTTAAAAGATTATGATGATGGCTTATCATTGATCAGAGCCAAAGGGGGTTGTGGGAGTTGTAGCTCAGCTCATCATGGAGTCAGAGAGCTTTCGAAGTCCTAGAACAGTCCACCCAAAGCAGTGGTTGCCAACAGAAATGTCCGTCTCCGCCCCAAAGCAATTAATCCAGGCTGCGCAGAAACACAAGGCTGCACCGCCCACAGGGCCTGCGGGAACACAAGGCTTGCGTCGCTTGCATTGCAGACAACACGAGGTAGTGAGGGGCAGAGGGGAAAGGGCGGAGTGGGGGGGAACTTGCCCCACTCGCCCCACTTGACTGGCCTGGCCACCGGGCTGCTTCTTTCTGCTCCTTTCTTCTGCTTTTGGCTGCATGCAAGGAAAGCAGCCAAAGTCTGTCTTTCTCTCCCCCAAACTCCGCCAGAAGTGAGTCTTTGGGACCCTGCAAGGCCTCCTGCTCCAAGAGGCTGCGCCAGCAAAGACTCATTTCTGGCGGAGTTTGGGGGAGAGAAAGAAAGACTTCTGCTGCTTTCCTTGCATGAAGCCAAAAGTCTCTCCCTCCCTCTCTCTCCACCCGAGAACGGAGCTGGAGACGGTATCCTGCGATCCCAAATAAAGAATGATTGATCGGTAGGAAAACGGGGTAGGGAATTTTCCTGTAGACATTTTGGGGGGATTTTCCCAGGGTCTCCGGTCCGCGAGATTTAAAAGTATGAGTTTGGTGGTCCCTGAGGTCCAAAAGGTTGGCGACCCGACCTGATCCAAAGGATGTCTCCGTCGAATTCTTTTGCCGGAAATGCAAGAGGCCGAGGAACGGCTTTTGGGCTCTTCCGTTTGTTTGAATACGCAACCCCTTTCTTTCCTCCCCACAGGCAGAGCGCCGGTACCAAAGCCGCCTCCAGGACCTGAAAGATCGCCTCGAGCAGTCCGAGAGCACCAACCGCAGCATGCAAAACTACGTGCAGTTCCTCAAGTCGTCGTACGCCAACGTCTTCGGAGACAGCATCTTGTCCAGTTCTCCCATTCGTCCCCGGTCTCCTCTGTAGCCCGCCCGTCGTCCCTTGCACCAGGCTCCGTCGGAGGGAGCGGGTACGAAGCCATAATCTGATTCTGGAATCTGCCTCTCTCGGAATCCAGCTCCGGGGAGGAGGGGCCTTGCACAGGGGTGGAGGGAGGGCACTCCAAGCCTTTTCCTCCCCCAGCGTTGTCAGGACTTTCTAGTGCCTTTAACCCGGCTTCCATCGTTTTGCAGCACCCTGTGTGGTTTTTTTTCTCCATCCACTTTTTTTAAAAATCTTTTCTAAAGTTTTTTTTTTAAATTTGTATTCCTGTTTGGGAAATCGCTTTACTCGCTGATTCCCTCAGGTTTCAACGATCATGTGGTAGGACATCAAAACCAATGGGAAGTTTACTTGGCAATTGTGCGCTAACATTTTCTCCCTTGTGCCAGATGTGCATAGGCCTGTGCGTTGCGTGAGAAAGGAAATAATTTCTTCCCCCAATTTTTTATTTCAACAAGTGACACATTTGGAACTGCAATTTCAAGAGAAATGTATGTTAAATATCCCAATTTAATGACACAGTTCTTAAATCTTCCCCTTAGGTTTATTCTGTGCAAGTTACTAGGGTCTGCGTTTACAGAGCCACGTATATTTTATTTCATGTAAAGCAATGATTATCCTGTTTGTTGTATATCATTCTAATCAGTTTTTTCTCCAAATGGGCGAAATTGCAAATGTTCGGGATAATATCTTAACTTTTATTATATTATAACCAGGAGATTTCAAATCTGGAGCAAGCTCTATTGTCTTCCCCCTCGACTGAATTAGAGAAGCCATTTTGCTTTGCAGAATGTAAAACACGGCGTTTCCACCTCACCAGTTCTGTGCTTTTATCACATTTCTTCGTTGTGTGGGTTGAGGGTGCGAGGAATCAACCAACAGAGTCAATATTTTTGGATTTTTAATATTTATGTGTGAGACCATAACTTTGCCTTGAAAAGTTTTAAGAGATTCGAATTGATGTGTGACTTTTTTAAAATGTGAAAAGATGCTATGATAAAGCTTTTTTTCCCCTCTCTTAAAATATCTTAGTTTTAATTTTTTTTGTTTGTGGGCGTGCTTTTATTGTTTTTAATAAAAAAAACAACCCTTTTGCACAAAATACAACTATCATAGATGCTTGGCTGAGCCTCTGGGTTTTCCATTTAGAAATACACCTTTTGTGGTGCATTTTTCTGAATAATGGATTAAATGTGGCTCTTCAGGAAAAAAAAATCCATCTACCTCCTTGATAGATGGATCCTTTTCCTACCACACTTAATCCAACTCACAAAACTAAACCATTTGCAGTCTCCATTTATCATCCCATTTCATCATTCATCCATTGATCCAGGATGGATAATCACCATTCCGTATCCATTTCCTTCCAATCCACTTTATAACAAAACCTGGTTGAGGGCGACGGGAGTTAATGTCAGCTCTTAGATGGATGTTCCTTCATGAAGTGGAAACTTAGAGTCAAGCTAACTCTTTTGCAGAATTAAACTGGATTCCAGACACACAGAAAAGGATGAATTCTGAATTTGCTTAAAACATCCCTAAAGAGAAATCAGATTGGAAACAGTTTTGGACAAGATAGCTGGGATTCCCAGTGATTTTTTTTTTCTCTCCAAATGGCAACTGGACTTGGCTTTTTTTCTTCTTCTTCTTCGTTGAAAACATTTTGCTTCTCATCCAAGAAGCTTCCGTTCTAACCAACTGGTGGGGGAACTGGAAGAATCAGAATCAGAATAGCAGAGCTGGAAGGCACCTTGGAGGTCTTTTAGTCCAGCCCCTTGCTCAAGCAGGAGGCCCTATACCATTTCAGACAAATGTTTATCCAATCTTTTTAAAAATATCCACTGATGGAGCACCCACAACTTCTGGTGGCAAACTGTTCCACTGGTTAATTGTCCTCACTGTTAAAGAAGTTTCTCCTTAGTTCCGTGTTGCTTCTCTGCTTGATCAATTCCCATCCATTGTTTTTTTGTCATTAATTGGAAGGATTTAATTTTACATGAACTGAAGAAGCTCCTTGGATGAGAAGCGAAACGTTATCAAAGGAAAACACACAAAATCCAGTTACCTTTTTTGGGTGTGTGTGTGTGTGTGAATCACCTTTTGCACAATTGTGATTGAGAAAATCCATAGAAAGAGACTCAGAATTGTCTACGCGAAGGGTCCCTCTATCCCGTCGCGAGTCTATATTCCACCCAGGGGAAATGGCCGTTCGTAGCTCTATGGGGATTTCTTAACGCTTCCTTTCCCCCCCCCTCCGGAACCGGAAGTGACGTTGCGGCGCCGGCGTTGCTCGGCGCGACCGTTTTCATTCGGCGCGATGCCGTCGGAGCAATTTCGGATGGAGACCGTCGAGGCCCTGCGGAACACCCGCAAAGGGCGGCTGCGCTACTGCCGCCACTGGAACCCGCTCGAGGAGGTGCGAGGCCGCGCCTTGGCTCCCCTCTCTCCCCGTCTCTCTCTCTCTCTCTCTCTCTTTTCCCGGGCTGGAGGACTACAACTCCCATCCGGCTGCACCATGGAGGGGAAGAGCGTGATGGGAGTTGGGATTCCTCACGCACATACACCAACGTCTGGGGGGGGGAGCTGGTAGCGGGGGTGGCCGGCCTCGAGACATCCCCCCCGCTCCCCCCCCCCGTTGCGGGCAGCGATACTGCTGCTGTTTATCCTAGCTGGGGATGATGGGCAGGGTGGTCCAAGCAGGCAGGGAGGAAGGCGCCCTTTTGTTCCCCACCCCCCTCTTTTCTTTTAATCACTTGAGACTTTCAAGAAGAGATTGGACCGCCATTTGTCAGAAATGGCGCAAGGTCTCCTGCTGGGGGTGGGTGGGTTGAACTAGATGACCTCCAAGGTCCCTTCCAACTCTGATTATCTGTTACATCTGTTATATTTGCAACAAAAAGGGGGGGGGGTTCTCCTTGCAGTCCCCAACCACAATTTTGCTTCCCAGGGTTGCCCCCACTCAGGCGGCATATAAATTTAATCAATTTTGACAACATTTTTATTATCACACCTAAAGGCCTTGCATTATGACCACAATTGAGCCCCCGTCATTTACATCGCTAAGTGAGACATTTGTTAAATGAGGTTTTTGCTCTCGTTTTTCAACCTTTCTGGCCCACGGTCCTTAAGCGAATCACTGCACTTGTTCAATTAGTCACCCGGTTGTTAAGCGAACCCGGCTTTCCCTTGTTGACTTTGGTTCTAAAAAGGTCGTAAATGGGGGTCAGGTGATCAAGCATCCATCAAGAGACTGTGGGGATGCTGTAATGGTCATAAGTTTGGGGAAAGGGTCATAAGTCACATTTTCCAGTGCCATCGTAACTTTGGTCACTAAATGAACAACAAAACATTCCAAGTTAAGGACCAGCTGTAGTGCTGTATCTATGATTTATGATGATTGCATTTTATGATTATGATTATCACTTGTTTGTATGTACACAGCTTCTGCATTGCAGACATTCCTTATTGTGTGTCCAATCACACTTGGCCAATAAAGAATTCTATTCTATTCCTGATTTCCCCCCGAAATTGAATTAGAATTCTAGATTACACAGTGGTGAGCCTTTTTTTATACAGATTGGGGCCTTCTCCCCAGGTAGACCAGCCCAGGAATCCCACCCACCAGAAAGACTAAAATTCCTTGCTTTGAAATTGGCCCTAATAAACAGCATTTTAGCAAGTCTGATTCGCAAAATGTATTCATTTATTTTAATTGCTTAATGAAATGGGCTTCCTGTGAATATAAATCAGGAAGGTGTCAATCTGAGCCCTTTTGACCTATTATTCCATTTATTGTGGGTTCTGTTTTGGGAGCAAATTTAAATGTGTGGAGGTTGCAGGGAGGAAGAGGAGGAGGAAGACTGTGGGGTCCTTGGTGTTCTCTGAGCTTGGCTGTTTTCTTGCAGGCATTTCATGACCTAACTAGGTAGCATTATCAGTGATGGTAAGGAGTGTTGTCAGTTTATATTCTCCTGACTTGCCCCCACCTCATTTCCTTCTTGCACTGATGACTTTCCCTAGTTTGGGTAATGAAAGGTCTGCAAGAAAACAGCCAAATTCAGAGAGCACCAAGGATCCCACAGTCGTTGTCCTCCTCCTCCTCCTTCCTCCTCCTCCTCCTCTTTCCTTCTACCACTGATGATACTCCCTATTTAGGGTCACGAAATGTCTGCAAGAAAACCCCCATGCTCAGAGAAACACCAGGGACACCTCATTTCAACCCTGAGCTACAAATACTCTCCTTTAAATTCAGATGTTCCCCATTCATTATCATCTTCCCTGCTTCCTTCATCTTAAACGGATGCGCCTTCCGGAGAGCAACAAAAGGAGGCGTGGATTAAGGTGTATGTACAGCCCTTGCCTCCCTGTCTTATACATCATGTTGTTCTTTTTCAGAGCCTCTTAGAAGAGGATAAATCCCCTCCGGTGCTGTCCCCCTACACAGGTTGGGTGCTTGAAAAAATCATCTCCTGTTCTCCAAACTCAGATCCTCTCCTGGCAAAATCCACACCTGAAGGAGCATCCCTTTTCCATGGTTTATCTTTAAAGACCGAGGCCTCTCCTGCCAATCAGCAGAGCCCCCTACCCTCGTTAACAGAAGCCTCTGCTGGTGCCCAGGTAATGCCTTTTTCTTTTTCTTTTTTACAGTAACTATTGTGAGGACCCGGGGTGTGGCACAAAGGCAGCCCAGTCAGATAATCAGTAGTAGTCCCTTTATTAAGCTCCAACTTTGCCCCCAATGTCCTGGTTATCTTCTGGGCTGGAGAAAAACTCCCAGGAACGGCCTTTGGCTGCAGAGAATCAAGTCCAAAACATGATCAACTAAAACTGTAACTATAAGTCCAATCAAGGCAAGATGAGGTAATGAGTTTGGGAAGGCAGGAGCAAGAACTCCAGGCGTGAAGGAACGGCAGTAACTCAGCACGGTTGGGGAGATGCCAGGAACGCAGATAACCAAAGTCAACACAAGATAAACTCACATTTGCTCCCAGCAGCTTCCGTACTCAGCATGCATCTCTTTTAAACTCTCTTCCCAACTGTGGCCAATGAAGGGAATCAGGGCCCTTTCCTCCCCTGTAAGCCACGCAATCCCATGTTGCTCTCTCCTCTGCAACAGTCGTAAATATGAAAAACTGGCCATAAGTCACTTTTCCGTGCCATTGTAACTTTGAATGGTCCTAAATGAACTGTTGTAAGTTGAGAACCGCCAGTGTAAGCTTAAAACATTCGTGTTCTTTGTTCCAAAGCTTTATAACTTCATTCCTGTAGTCTTTTTGGTTCCGTTTTTTGAGTGACACTGAGATGTTGTCCTAGAAGGTGGCAGACTGAGATCTCACTTTAGAGCTGCCTCAGAGGACATTAGATCTCACCCGCCTTCAACAAACCTGTGTTTTCCTACCACCTGGTTGTGAGTCCAGCCTCTCACTTGCTCTTCTTCTGTTTCACATGGGCCCAGAGGAAATGGAGCACCCCGGGGAGCAACCAGGAACCTCTCCTCCTGGCCCCTCCATCCAAAAGCACAGGAGTCGAAGGCCTCATACATTTGCACAGGGAGATCCAGAAGCTGAAAGGGAAGGTGAGCACAGAGGCCTGGTGGGCGTGATATCGGATGAGGCAGCGGGAGCTTATTTGACTGTACAATGTCGTCTTCTTCTTCTTCTTCTTCTTCTTCTTCTTCTTCTTCTTCTTCTTC